TTGTCAAACCTCAGTGAGGAGTGCACTAAGTGTGATTATCTGGATGTCTACATCAGAACTGAGCCGGGAAGGTTACACTTCCTTGGTAGGTGGGAATGCGACAGTGGCAGGAGAGAGGAGGTTGTAGAAAGAGAAAATGCAAGCACAGAACACAGCATTTGGAGATTCCACTTCCTCATAACTTTGCTCCCACCAGCAGCACATCTTCATCTGCTCAACCCCTCCTTTGCATGGAAGGCAGGTACCCAGGAAGTCTATGTGATGTTTGAGTAAGTTTCATCATGCAGGATGTTTGCAACGAGTTTTATTTATGCAGGCATTAATACATCAAGGGGTAAGAAAGGCATCCTCTCCACTCCCAGGAGATCACAAGCCGCCCCCTCACAACTCCACAAAGAACACAGTCCAGGCCTCAGCAGCCAAACATGATCTAGGCCAAGAAATCATGGATGTCAAGAACCACCCAAAGGAGATGCAGGTCACAGATACACTATTTGAGGCCTCCCTCTTTAAATCCTACAATGACAGTGAGTCAATTAGAAATAGAAAATCCTTAGGCATTTAACAAACACAGATGGTTCTCTACTTACAACTGTTTCACCTAGGACTTTTGATTTTTTGACTTTACAATGGTGTGAAAACAATACACTTTCAGTAGAAACCGTACTTTGAGTGCCTATACAACCAATCTGTTTTTCACTTTCAATAAACTACATGAGATATTTGATGCTTTAACACAAAATAGGCTTTTTGTTACATGATTTTGCCCCCATTGTAGGCTAATGTGCATGTTCTGGGCACGGTTAAGGTAGGCTAGGCTGAGCTGTGATGTCAGTAGGTTAGGTGTATTAAATGCATTTTCCATTTACAATATTTTTAACTTATTTTAACTTACGAGGATGTAGCCCCACTGTAAATTAAGAAGCATCTCTACCAACTTTATCCCAGTTGTGATTTCAATCATGGAGTCAGACTGCAGGATCACACAGTGGAACTCTCGAAGCCATGGGGAAAGGAGCAGGAAAACCAACGCCTTCTTCCTTTCCGGTTTCCATGACGTCACAATGGGCAGTGCCAGAAACCACTTTCACGCCACAAGTGTCCTCTACCTGACCAGCTGACTTGGGTATGAAATTAAAGTGGTAGGGATGCAGAGGCCAGAGAAAATATAGAAATGCCTTTTGGGGCTTCCCAAATATAGTTCAAGACTATTCCTAGGGCTTCATTTTCCTTCTCCCTCAGTCTGTGCCTGGCCCTCAGCCCAACCCCAGGTACCCTGAATGGGTTTTTGGATAGTCTATATCTGGTTTTTCCTGCTGGTCTCCCAGCTGCTCATCTCCCAATTCAGAAACCCTTTGGGTGCTACATCTTATCACTTGAATGAAGCCGGGTGGTCTCAACCTCCCTAGGTTGACACTGATATCCCCTCAGTCCCTCAGTCACTGTGACTTGGAGACTAACATAGTTTACTATACCACTTTCTTATTTGGAGAGCTATCTTTATAAAAATGACTTTGCCAAGGTGAGTACTGAACCAAAAGCAATATCATTTTGTTAAATTCTATGCTTATGCTTAAGGTATTTATCAAATCTTAAAAATGCTCATCCGTGCATGCAGTTATCACAATGTGAACAAAGATGTATAAGTGAAAAGCTCTTCCCCAAGCAAAATCTCTGCAAGCCACCAACTGCTGAATCCAGAGCACCTTGCAACGCCTATTCCATAGCATACAACTCTTTTTAGGGAGAGTGAGGTAAGGAAGGCTTTAAAACTCACCACCCTCCTAGTCAATACAGTTGCTGATGGAAGCACAAATGTCCCCGAACTCTCTGGGTGTTCTGCTAGTCCTGTGACCAGAAAAAGCCTCTTGTCCAAATTTCTTTTTGTAAACATCAGAGTAACAAAAGGGTGACCCAAGCTTACCTTAAACACATTCCTGCCCCCTTTAGATCTTATCTGTTGCCCTGTGGTCTCTGCTGCAGGAGGCCACCTCCTGGGTGGTCCTAGGCCCATTGCCACTCTCTTTCTACCCTGGGCTGTTCCAAACAAACTCGGGAAGCCTTAAACAAGAGGCAGATGGTGAGGCAGAGAAAGTGTGTAAGTAACGCCTCTCTATTACATAATGCTAAGCTCACAACCTCCTTGTGAATCAGCCTTGAAAATACCTAATGGCCTTCCACTTCAGAGTAAACATGCACTTGAAATAGGCAAAGAGAGGATTATAATTATTTTATTTGATGACCGGTGTACAACCATGTTAGTAAATAACATATCAACATATTAGTAGTACATTACAGGTTGGGGTCGGACCATATATTAGTAAATTACAGGTTGGAATAGTAAATATACAGGTTGTAAATTACAGGTTGTTGATTCAGTCAATACTCTTGTGACATCCAATACCTACCAAGCACTGAGCTAGGTCCCGTAGGACACACTTTCTAACCTCACCTAGACCAGATCACTGTGGAAGTCACTAGTGCTACTCACCCATATCCACTTCTCCCTTTTTCAGCACAAGAAATATTGAATTGGGATTAAATAGGGTCATATGCCGAGTTCTGGCCAAAGTGATGGAACTCACCTCTGGGTGAGATCACATAATTGCTAGAGCAAGACCCTGCAGCATTTTCTTCCCAATGCTGCAATGATCTTGCAAGCTCACATCAAGACCAAGACTCCATCAGTTTGACTCCTTGAGTGACTACGATGAGCAGTGTCCACCTGCCAACCACACTGGATGCAGCACGGGAAGGAAAGAAACTATTTAACCATGGAGACTTGGAGGTATTTGTTACTGCAGCATAACCTCACCTATCTTGCTGGTACGTCACTGTTTAAAAAAGAGAAAAATCTGCAAAAGCATCCCATCAATCTGTTTTCTAAATCAGATAATACGGAAAAACAGCATTTGTTTCAAAATTCAGCTTCATCAGGAACGGAACACTATCTTGAAAAGCAGAGGTTGCTGACAGTATAGGTGGGTTCAAACAACTCTAAGGAAATCAGAAATGAAACCAGAATGACCCTCAACAATGTAAGGATTGAACTGTATGGAATTCAGCTAAAAAGACTACAATGAAAAGGACACCTTCCGACAACAGGAACAGCCATTTATGAAGCAGTGAGCTCCTCAGTGAAAAAGGCATTAAAGTCAAGGGTGGATGACCATATTTTATCTCCCCAGAAGTCCAATCCTACCATTCTTGAGGTTCCATTGAAGTTAATTAGAATCAGGTCTTCCTATAGGGAGTTGAATTTTGTGTCTCCCCCTACACCCAATCCCAACCCCTTGAGTCCATTACCTATCACAGAGTCCATTATCTATCAGGTGCCAATAAACATCTGCTAAATGAATAAATGAGCATTGTAGAAAGGAAGCAGGCATTGGAGGCAAAGATCAGTCTAATAGTGTCTAGGGATCCTCCAGCCTAAAGCTAAACACATCTGAGGGTGGGGAGCCTCCTTCTTATAAAAAAAAATAATAAGCATCAATGGACACTTTATTATGATTTATCATTGTACACAATTTAAAACCACAATGAAACCTAACACTGCACTGTGGCTATCTTTGTTCTTGGACGTGCATTTACATGCGCAGGCTACTGTTTTGCCATATGGAATTTTGTGTGTGAAGTGTTTATTCTATTAAAAAAGAAAACCACACCCTTGTTTCTATTGCATTATTACATTCCTTATTATGCCATCACATGTGTTTTCTTCTTGCAACAACACAGTACACACCCTGTACTATTGCTGACATAAAAATTACTTGTCAAAAATACCTCTAGCTTAGCACCAGATTACTCATCTGATCTTTGCAAAGCACTGGCCTTTGTTTCACCTGGGACTAGATAACCCAACTACTTTTACTAGTGACTCCTGAATGCTTGTAGTAGAAGGATAAATGCTAGTGTCACCTATGGTTTTAAAGTCACCTTCCGAAACAAAACTACATTAGAGGTGAATAATACATCTTTCAAGTTTTTAACTTCATTTTGCAAGGGATCTGGAGGAAAATGGTGAAGAGAGAATCTGTCACAGATACCAAGGTGCTACTGCAGTGTAAAAGAGAGTATACCAGGAGCCTTTGGCCCTCAGCAATCTGTCTTCCTACAAGAAAAATCGAAAGCCCATTTCCATAACCATCCTTATTCCCTGCTACTAGTGTAGGATGCGCAGGACTCTGCCCTCTAGGAGAAAATGCTAATGCCAGAGTGTCCTGCTAAGTCTGAAGGTTATGTTTTTTCATTGCACTCTTACCAAGATAACCCCAGATCCGGTTAGGCTGACATCAAAACAGAACTATCCTTGGAAAGAAAAGAATAGGCCAGAGTTTTTGGAAAAGCCCCAATAACCTAAAGATAAAATACAGATGAGAGGTTCATGGCTATCTAAATGGAAACTTCACTCAAGCTGTTTTCTCTGTTCTCTTTCTGCTGCCCCCAACGGCCCTTCCTTCCACCTCCCAGTACTCACTGCTAGGGTGTCTCTCTTAATATTACAAACACTATTACAATGAAGGAACAGGAGAAAGTATTTCATAAGAAGGTCACCTCATTTGACCAGTGCTCAATTAGAGCACTGGGCAAAAGTACAATCAGCCTTCCAATGACACCTTTTCAACAAAGGATACCCCACCTCTAGACTGAAGCCTATATATATTACTACAGATAAGAAAGCAGGCATCTATGGAAACCTCACATTCAGATACAACCGCCTGTGTATTAATTATATCAAAATTCCCATCAAAGGAAACCAGGTGGGATTTCTACAATCCCAAATTCACCCTGCACCTCCCTCCAATGGCTTCTTCAAAGGGAAGGTATAAAGTCATTTGCAATTTCTTTCTCTGAACCTGGAGTTTTAGCAGCCCCCACACCTTCTCACAGATAGGAACGATGCTGATGCAGAAACCACCCAAACAGCCCTGTGCCAGCACTGTCGGCCCAAATGACCCAGAGACACCCAGGCGGCTACCCAGATCGTGGGGGGTTACCTGAATCTGTCACCGAGTCTCTTTCACCCCCTTCTGCATGATGACATCAAGTGGAAATGGTACGCGTTTAGGAGGCAAGAGGCTGACAGGCAGGAAACACAATTGAGACTGAGCTTTCTTCAGCCTGCAGTGAAATACATGCAGGAAGGGTTAGATACGCGCCTTAGAGAAGGAAATCCAAGCGCCCTCCCGGGCCGGCGGGGCTGGAGCGGGTACACTGGGGAGGTGGAGCAAGGCGGTTGAGGTGTGGAGGGCTGGCGGCCGAGAAGGGGGCGTCACGGCTCCTAATTGTCTCTATAGGATAAATAACCACCTCCCCTCTCCTCCGCAGTATCCCCCGCCCACGAGTTCTCCTCTGGTGGCAGAGCGTCTACTAGCAACAGTAAGCCCTAGGAAAAAGAAATCGGAGCGGGTGGAGAATAACATCTTGGGGCAAAGACACACTAGCAAAATCTACTAGGTAACCCGGTCATGTGGGAATGCGGGGCGCCTAGTTATCCGCGCAGACAGACACACAGCGCGGCAATCCGGAGCATCTGTCTTTCGTTTGCCCCTGTCCGCTACCTCATCAAGTCACCGTCACTCTGTTTTGGCGATTTCTCTACTCTCTCCAGACCCGCGCAGCGCTCCCCAAGCCATGCCCCCACCCCAGGCGGGATTGGAGACCGCCGCTTCCGAGCAGCGCCCCACAAGTCCAGCTGGCTTTGTCCTGCCGCTGTCCTTCCAGGAGCAAGCGCCCCCGGCGAATGTGTCTGCACAAAAGACCCCCAACATCTGCCCGTCACAGCGTCCTCTCCTTCCGGGAGGGGCCCCGGGGCAACTTCTAGGGGTGGAGAAGGCGCGAGACAAGGGGACCGAGAGGCAACGAGCCGGGGTGTGCGCGGGCCGGGTGCGAAGCTGGGACGAGCGCGCGCGCACGTGCACACCCAGGGGCGCGCGCGGCGCGGGCACGAGGCGAGCTCCCTCGGACCGGAGCTCCAGGGGGCATCCGAGGACTCGGCCGAGCCGCCGACAGCGCCGCTCTCCGCCGCGGCCGCCCGCTCAACTCCGCCAGCGCTCGGGAGACACGCAACTCCCGGGACCACCTCCCGCGCGCCCCGCCAGACCCCGCGCTCCTCTCCCCGGGACCCCTGCGGCCCCGCCACCCCATCCGCCGTCCAGAAGATCCCCCCAGTTACAGCAGGCGGCAGCTGCCCTTTCCCGCTTTCCCGGCTCCGGCGCGGCCGCCGTAGGGGCGCAGACATCCCCGCGCGCCCCCCTGTCCGCCCCCGACCCGGAGCTGGCAAAGAAACAAACCGAAACTCACCGACCTTTCTCCGCGGCGGGCTTGGGCGCTCGCTACAGAGGCGGCGGCGGCGGCGACAGCATCGCCAGGTGGTCCCGACGCGCCAGCCCCGCTCAGCCAGACGCGCGCCCCGGGCAGGCGGCCGCCGCTCCTCCAGCCGAGAGCCACGGGGCAGGCGCTGACAGCGCAGCGGCGGAGCCTGCAGCCCCAGCTCCCGGCCCGGCCCTTCGGGCTACACCCCCACCTGCGTGGCCGCCCTCTGCGTTCGCGGTCGGACACCGCCGCCAGGCGCTGGGCACCGAGCGGGAGCTTTTTGTCACTGAGACTCCGGCACCAAAGCGGGTGGGGGGAGAGGCTGGGCTCCGCTCCCCGCGGCACCGCCCTCCCCGGCGGCTCCACCCCCTCCTCCCCGCCCCCAGCCCGGCGGGCCAGAGACGTCTGTCCTTCAGTCCCGAATCGCCCACCTCCCCCGGAGTGAGGGGCTGCCGGCCCTCTCTTGCGCGCTCCCTCGGCTTTGCACCTGGTGCCCACCCTAGGCCAGGATCTCGACGCCGTCTCTCTACGGTGCAAAAGCGGGACCCGAGCTGGCGGCAGGTGTGAAAGCAGGCCGGGGCGGCTGGGAGGAGGGGCGGGGTCGGGGTGGGGGCCCAGGGCCGCGGTGGGCGGGTTGGGGGGTGCCCAGCCTGTGCCTAGGACCCGAACAGCGAGAGGGAGTAGCTGAGATCATCAGGTTTCCAGAAGCTGCCCTGCATCCTCGTCACCGAAGATACTTTTTGGTTGCCCCTAAAAGTTCACGTAGTCCAGCCAGGGTGGGGCCCCGCTTTCCAAAGAGGCCCGAACGGACACCCCACTATTTGAATCCCTCAAATGGGGGACAAGAAGCAGGGGAGTAAGGATATGCAAGTCCTAGGGGTTATATGGAAGCGCGAACCCCACGGAACCTCGGGGCCCACCCTATTCCACACCTTAAAACCTAACTTCGACCTAGGAAGGTGCTTAGAATGTCTTGTTCCCCGGAGAAAATCTCCCGCCTCTTGAGTTAACTGCGAAGTAGGAGAATGGAGGAGAAAGGTCCTTGGTAGAAGATGGTTCCATGCCCTTTGGTGCCTTTTTAAAGGATTTCCCTGCAGAATGAAAACCTAAAACTCGCTTCTAGAGCTCAGATGAAGTTCAGCCTGCGGACGTTCCCGGTCCCCAGCAGCAGGGCTCAGCTGTGTGTGATCCCCACGAATTCGGGCGGTACTTACCGCCTTTCCCTACTGCTGGAGTGGAGCCGTCTTTGTCTTACGGTAGTATCCGCAAGGAAAGAGCTCCCAGTTTCACTTCCCCAAGTAGCTTACTGAAAAGCTTCTGCCAAGATTTCTTTTTTTCTTTTCTTATTTTTATTTTTCTTTTTTTTCTTTCTTTGAGACGTTCTCTCGTTCTGTCACCCAGGCTGGAGTGCAGTGGCGGGATCTCAGTTCACTGAAACCTCCGACTCCCGGGTTCAAGCGATTCTCCTGCTTCACCTTCCCGAGTAGCTGGGATTACAGGCCCGCACCACCTCGCCCAGCTAATTTTTGTATTTTTGGTAGAGATGGAGTTTCGCCATGTTGGCCAGGCTGGTCTGGAACTCCTGACCTCAGGTGATCTGCCCGCCTCGGCCTCCCAAAGTGCTGGGATTACAGGGATGAGCCACCGCGCCCGGGTTTTTTTGTTTGTTTGCTTTTTGTTTTTTCAGAGGAAGCCCTATAAACCAATGGAGAATCTAGGTAACCTACCATAAAACTCTCAATGTACTCAAAGCACCCTTGTCATGTCCCACAATTACGATCTGTTGATGGGGTTTCCAAAAGTGCTGTCCTTAAGCACATACATAAAACTGGTCATCTAGAAACAGATAAAGCCGCATGGGTATCAGTTGTCCCTGGGATCCCAATTAAAACGTTGCCTTCTATGGTCTTCTGACTGATCCTTATCCCTTTGTTTGCCCAAGCTAAAACCTCTATCATACACCTGAAAAGAGTGAAAGCTGTATCCACGTTTTAGAAGCCTAAGGTAATCTTGAAGTAGAAGACTTCAGGAGTCTCTATTTTAAGCCTCAACTTCAGGGCAGGAAGGAGATTTTTTTTTTTTTTTTTTTTTTTTTTGAGACAGGGTCTCACTGTGTTGCCCAGGCTGGAGTGTGGTGACCAAAATCCTGGTTCACCACAACCTCGATCTCCTAGGCTTAAGCTTCCTCCTGCCTCAGCCTCCCAAGTAACTGGGAGACTACAGGAGTACCACCACGCCCAGCTAATTTTTGTGTTTTTTTATTTTTGTAGAGATAGGGGTCTCTCTTTGTTGCTCTGGTTTGGTCTTGATCCTGGCCTCAAGCTATCTTCCTGCCTCATCCTCCCAAAGTGCTGGAATTGCAGGCATGAGCCACCATGCCCAGCTCCAGAAATTCACTTTAAGGAGAAGTTAATGAGGGTCTTGAAAACTCTGACGTTGGCAAGGAGTTGGAATGAGGAAGGTAAGTTATAACATCCCAAGATCTTACTAGGAAAGTTCAGCCTAGAAATATTATGATTATACAAGAGTTACTTTAAAGACTACTCTTCAGAAGCTAATTTCAGGGATCAGTAATTGTTCCAAAATTTTTCAGCTCTTTTATTCAGCTGCTTTTGAAACAATTATTTGGGGGAGTCAAGCATTCACCATGATGTGGAAAAACCACCCCCATCCTTAGTCTTCCGCTGCCACTGGCTGGGATTTTAATTCACAGAGCATCATGGGTGTTCTGCCTTCTGTCCAGTCTTGTAAAGCTGTCACACAGAGAAGGTTAATTAACTGGGGCAGACTGGGATAGGCCAGTTCTTAAGGCTGGTTGTAGGCCAACACTGGGGCGGGCAAGAACAGTTTGAGTCAGAGGAGGAACAGGCAACAACATGTCCAAGCAGAGTCTTCAGTGAGAAATTCCAGGATCAAGGCCATTAGGACCAGGCAGTGTTTAGAGCTGTGAGCAAGCAGGCAGCATGGCCGGAGAATCTGGCATCGGCCTGCAGACTGGGCACTGCCCATGTGTGGGAGAGGGAGAGGGAATCAAAGCTGCATCCCAGGTCTTGAAGGATGGGCCATCAAGATGGGACCCCAGCACTGGGTACCGAGATAAAGATCCAAATATTCGTGAATTCATACAACAAATATTCACTGAGTATGGACTATGTACTGGAAACCTAGTCCTAGGTTTAGGATAGAGAAAACACCCCCAAATTCCTGCCCTAACAGAACTTATATTCTAATGGAGGAATCAGACAATACAACTGTGGACGAAAAGAGTCGAACTCTGTAAAATATTTGAAAGGATTTATTCTGAGCCAGATATGAGTGACTATGGCCCATGACACAGCCCTCAGGAGGTCCTAAGAACATGTGTCCAAGGTGGTTGGGGTGCAGCTAGGTTTTATACATTTTAGGGAGGCATGAGACATCAATCAAATACATTTAAGAAATATTGGTCCAGAAAGGAGGAACAACTCAAAGCAGGGGCTTCCAGGCTATAGGTGAATTTAAACATTTTCTGGTTGACAATTGGCTGAGTTTGTCTAAAGACCTGAGATAGATAGAAAGGGAATGTTCAGGTTAAGATCAAGATTGTGGAGACCACAGTTCTTTTGAAGTCTTATAGCGGCTGCCCATAGAGACAGTAAGTGACAAATGTTTCCTATTCAGATCTTAGTTAATCTCTTTAGGATTGAGAGGGTCTGGAAGAAAAGTATCTCGCTATGTTAACAGGGATTCTTTACAGATGCAAATTTTCCTCCACAAAGAACAGCTTTGCAGGGCCATTTCAAAAGATGGCAAAGAAACGTGTTTTGGGGTAAAATATTTTGATTTTCTTCTTTGCCTTATAATATTATGCCAGAGTCAGGGTGGAAAGTAAATCATGATATATAGGGTTAAATAAAACCCATCTGATGAGAATTTATGATTTGTAGGGCATGACTCCCCCAGACCCCTTAGATAGGAATTTGGGCAAGATAAAAAAAAAAAGTTGGAATTTAGTCCCATAATAAATAGATAATTTGTAGGTTGGAGAGTGAAAAAGGTAAGGGAGAAAACAAAGCAGGGGTGGGGCATTATGAAGTCTGTGTGTTGGCGGAAATTTTAGATCGGTGGCCAGGGAGGGCCTTTCTGAAGAGGAGTTTTCTGAGCTAAGAACTGCAGGAAGAAAAGGAAAGTGTCATGCCAGTAAATAGGGAAAGCCTGTTCCCATCATCAGAGGGAACAAGTGGGGGGTGCCTGCACTTCCCCACGGGCAAAGGTCGAGATGCTGGAACTGGGTTACAGGGTCAGTCAGATCTATAACACTGATTGATGCTGAGTCACCTGAGGTTGTATGAGAGTTGCTTACATTGGGGCAGGGATGAGCTCTTCATCTTTGTACCTGCAGCATGGAACACAGGTGCCCAATAAATGTTTATTGAGCTGAGCCCTTAAATCTCTGAGAACCTGGCATGGAGCTGAGATTAATGTGATCCCATAATACCCAGGGCAGCCCTTCTGTCGGGGATGACACTTTCACAAAAGAATGTGATGATCTCTTCAGTCACTTTTCATTACTGTCTTCCTGATCTGGGAGGGCAGAGATCATCTTTCAACTTGGATCCTCA